CTCGACCAATACTCTCTCCAAACTCCTCTTTTTGGATTCCAAACTCCACAAAACCACTTCCAAGGCTCCAAGGGTAGTCTCATCACCTGATAAATGCAAATGAATGCAAAATGCAACCTAAATGCACCTAAACCAAATCTATATGCTCAACAAGAACAAAGAATGCAAGGTTAAGACTAAGCAAATATGGAACATATCATACACACAAATAAATAGGTCCATCTATCACAAATATTATATATTACAAATCTAACAAAACTTATATGAATGAATGTTTAATATTATATATTACAAATCTAACAAAACCTATATCAATGAATGTTTATGTAATAATTACATTTTTGTGTTGTGAAAAATTTATATGTCTATTTTATTAAAATAAACATTAGTACATATGTGAACGAGTTAAATTCTAGTTGTTATTATTACATAAACAAGCTTAGCCTTTATGTTTTTTTAGCCTTTTTTTGTTTTTTTGCGTGAATCAGATTGTGTGCGTTCCAATTGTCAGTCCGCAATTGAATGATACACAAATCACTTATGAATGATCTGATCATGATTGATCGATTTTATTTGTTTTGTTCTTATATAAGCTTTGTCTTTGTTGTGAAAAAAGTTTATACAGGAGGAGAGAGGACTCTTATATAATGGCGGACACTGAAATGCAAGAGCAACATGTTCCTTCTCCTGCTACTGATACCAAAAGTGTAGAGGAAGAGCCTAAAGAAAAAGCAGCCAAGGAACCAAAGTCCCATGTTCCTCTTGAGGATAAGACTCGTACTTTGGACTCTGATCTTCATTTACCTGATGCTAATGAGGAAAAAGGTGTTCAGGAAAGTGTTGTTGATCAGTCAGAAAAATGATTAGGGGTGATGACGGTCAAGAGGAGAAAGCACTAGTGGAATCATCAACGCCTCTGAAGGGGGGAACCCTCAGCTCCTCAAGTTTCTGTTGAAAATGTTAAGAAGTGGAAGACATGGTTGCTCAGTCTGAGGTATTGATTAGCATGTTTTCTGTCACATTTTGAGATATTTAGCTTCCTTGCATTTGCGTTGATTGGATATTGCAGGGTCTTATTATTGTTGCTGTCTGAAACAGTACATGTTCACTTCTAGTCTGATAGTTTTTATTTTTTGTTTTCCCAAATTGTCATCTAATTTTGTTATTTTAGCTGCTTGGTATACAAAAAAAAAAAGCTGCTTGGTATACTTCTAATTTGATTTGGGGAGATGACTAACATTTTTGATTCATTTGTGTTAGTTGTAAAATGATTATAGTAGGCCTAATGATTCATTCACTTTCTTTTTGGCAGTGATGATATCTGTCTTAAAATGTCGAGTAGCTAGGGAAGTTTCTCAGGACTCAGTAGCTTGGATTGTAGTTCCACAAGTGATGGCACTGAAGACCTTCTGCAGATTGGGACAAGATTCAGAGAGGTTTAAGTGTAACCATCTTATGTTGATGAAACATGAACTCCCATCTTTGTTTTTTGACTCTAAGATTCAATTCAAAAGAAAAAATTCTAAGAACTCCTTAATAAACAACACCATTGTAGTAACATTTGTGCTTAAAGTCCTTAACTATTCAAAAAACTAAAAAAAATATTTTTATATTGGTAAGGATTCCAATGGTGGATAACACCATTGGAGGTGCTCTTATTCCAATTAGTCCCATAGGTTGATGTATTCCTACATCTTTCTTGCTTCTTCAATGTTAGTTCAGCTAATGATGATGAGTTTTGGCCGAGGAAAAATCTAAAAGATATTGTTAAAAAAATAGATCTAAAATATCTACATGCTCCATTGATAAGGGCACCCTTATTGATGATATTAAAAAAATATAAAAAATAAATAAAAAGAATGGAGAAGAAAAAGATCTCGCAGGCAAACCTCAACAAAAAAGGACATCCCACTGTCATACGTGTAACTTAATAATTAGTCTGTTTTGTTTTTATGATTTGAAATTTAATCAGTAATTCAGTTTATGCTTCAATAAAACAACTACATATTCTTTCCAACATCCATTTTGGTCATGCTCACACACATAAAATGGGCAAAAGCATTGAGGGTGAACGGACAATAATTAATGGCTATACAAAATTAAATTCTCAATTATTGGTTTCTTCTTCTTACATTTATTAAAATAATTTCCTGGCCAGTGTAGGGTATATAAATTACATCACATCTGCTTGAAGCTCCACACCTTCAATATCCACAAAAAAAACCAAAACAAATTACTAGAGCTTTAAAATGGCTGAGGAACAACAAAACTCAGCTAACAGCAATGGTGAAAACATCATCCCTCCCGAAGATGTTGCTAAGTTCCTGCCCAAAACTGTTGAAGAAGGTAATTCATTCCTCCTTTCAATATTACTTATACAATTATAACAGAGTTTTAGGTCTTTGTTCTCTAGTAATATGAGAAAAATCGTTGTGGATTTGTGACAAATGAGTCACACTAATCATCATATGCTTTTTGATTGGATCCATAGCCACAAAATGGATGGAACTATTCTGGATTTCGTTAGGTAGAGAAAATACAAATAGTATTACTAATGTGAATAATCAAATAAAATAAAAAGGTGGATGGGAAAAATGTTGGGAAGACGGGGTAACACCATGGGACCAAGGAAGAGCCACACCTCTCGTTGTCCATCTTGTTGAATCTTCTTCTCTTCCTCTTGGTCGTGCTCTTGTCCCCGGCTGTGGTGGAGTTAGTCTTCTTCTTACTCTTTACATCTCTCTTTTGCGTTTAGAGAATAATTAATGTAACGCTGCTATCCGCCTCTCGTGTGCATACAACGCTCTTTCTATAGGCTTATGTGCACACGGGAGAGGCGGAAAATGGATTATAATAAATTACTGACCGAACTAAGATCGAAGTTAGTTTGAATTGTTTATAATGTTTTATTTTTCTTTTTTTTTTTGAAAAGTGTTTTATTTTTCTTTTTGTAAAAAAAACCAAGAATGTGAGCAGGGTCATGATGTGGTTGCGATGGCAAGCCCCAAACGTTACGTTGTTGGTTTGGATATTTCTGAAAGTGCCCTCGAGAAAGCGGCTGAGGTTAATCATATGCTCGCTATGTTACGTAACACTTCCGTTCATCTTCAATAACTGCTTTTTTATTAATTACCTTTGGTTACATATAGACTTACGGCTCCTCACCGAAGGCCAAGTACTTTACGTTCGTGAAGGAAGACTTCTTCACATGGCGTCCTAAGGAATTATTCGATCTCATTTTCGATTATGTGTGAGTTAATTAACTATTTTAACATAATCTACAAAATAAGTAACTGATTATCATATCGAAAAACAAACTAACATTCCAAGTAACAGGGTCTTCTGTGCCATTGAGCCGGAGATGAGATCTGCATGGGCAAAATCCATGTATGAACTCTTAAAACCTGACGGCGAACTCATTACTCTCATGTATCCGGTAATTATTTTAATTTCCTGTGTAATTGTTCCATTTTTTAATTAAAGATATAATATGTTCTTTGCACTTTCTGTTTATTAGATTACGGATCATGAAGGTGGACCTCCCTACAAAGTAGCTATTTCTACGTACGTAATTAACCTCTTAATTTTCGTTATATACATAGCTATTCTAATATCTATGATATGAAAATCTGTAGTTACAATACTAAACTGTTAATTGTGCTCGTGTTTCTTGTGGATTAGCTACGAAGATGTTTTGGTTCCGGTAGGATTCAAGGCAGTGTCCATTGAGGAGAATCCATACTCCATTGCGACTCGTAAGGTATATACACTGGTCACATTTTGCGGTACATATAGTTGAGGCTCGCATTAGTTAAGCCGTACAGAACGGAAGAGATAGAACTGATGAAAACAGCTTCACATTGTTGCACTAATCATTCTTGGTAGACTTCATACGCTCCGGTTCATACACATAAATGTATATACTTATACTAGAGTCTGAGTTGGAAGTATATGACTTTGTCTAAATACATATGGACTACAGTATAGACCATATTGAACAGAACAATTAATTTCATCATAACTCCAAACATACATCAAATTTTGAATAAGTTAGGAGTTATTATTGTAAGATTTAAATAGATGTACCTTTTAACAATATCTCCTATATATTAATTGAGAAGTATTATAACATGTTTTGATAATCATGTATCATCACTACAATGATTCTTAGAATCTTTAGAAAAATACTCTTCATATTTTCCTTAAATAAAAGCTATAGAATTATCTAATATGATTAACATATATATGAAAATTAATGATTTTGAATAATAAAGTTTTGATAACAATTTTTGGATCCTCCATCATTTTTGTTTATTTTATATTTTAAATAAATTAAAAAAATCTTATTAATTATATAATTAAAAAATTAGATATGTCGTATTTTGATTTTTTTTAAACGACTATAAATTACTAAAACTGCTAAAAAAACTCACATTATATATATATATATATATTTCAATATTATTTATATTTATAATATATAATATACACAAACACATTAATTTCAACATTTGCATTGAGTAGAGAACATCCATTAAATAAATATTCATATTAACAAAAGTAATATTTTTTCAGAAAATATAAATATTAATAAAATCATATGAGTACAAAGGCTCAACTGATAAATATTTATATTAAAATATACTATATATTTATGTCAATATTGTTTAATTTTAATTATATAAAAGATAAGATAAATAAATCATTTTTAATTTCTTACAAACAAAACTTATTGTAAATAAAAAATTAGGATTGTTTTTATTTATGTGCTTACTCCAATTTAACTATATATATGTAATAATATGTAAATGAACATAAAATAAATATTAATATTTATAATTAATTTTTATATATAATTAATGTATTATGCGTAAGCGTGGATCTCAAATGTTATTGATTATATCATTTCAGAAATACAATTCTTCATACTGAAGTGAGATGGTAAATTGTAACATCCCAATGATATCATTAAACCCATTTTAAATTAAATAAGTATAAAAAAATAAAATATCAACAAACATGAACCGATACTCAAAACTGTATTTTGACGGTCCATGACTATACATGTAGGGACTTATGACACGATAGTTAAACGATCAAAATTAGTATTCAATAAGTATTAGTATATAAATGTTATTCTGTGTATGTGCGTGGATAATCACCTAGTAACTATCTAAAACCAATTTTTAATAATTTGTTAACATTATACTTTCTTACCCTTTTGTAACCAAACTAACATAATTAATACTCTTTTGTGGTTGACAGCAAAATAAATACTCTTTTGTATTATATTAGAAATGATCTTTTCAAGAAATAAAAACTTGTATTAATTTAACTAATTTTTTTCAACTTAATTTATATAATTTTTTTTAATACAAATTAGTTAGATTTTACTAATTATATTCGTAAAATCGTTTAACATTTTTGACCAATTATCGATAATCTATTTGATTATTTCTGCTTAATTACATAATTCAAAATTAAGTTGCAATTTAAACACAAATAAGTGATTGTTCATTGGTTTTTATAATGTATTTATTTTTAAATGAACAGGGCAAAGAGAAGCTTGGTAGGTGGAAGAAGATCAACTAATCCAAGAAAGAACTTTCTAACTCTTTACTAAGGGTATTATATGCATATTCTACCAATGTATTAAGAATGAAATGAAAATTCTACAAATTTTCTGATTATTAATAATAAATTTAAAGTTTGTGATCATATAATTCAGTTAAGAGAGATTAATTATAAATAAATTCAAATTCAAATTTTGAAAAAGTGAGAGTAGAGAAAATGGCCCATATTATAGAGAAATCTCTGATTACTGGCCAACACTCTGCTTAGGGTATCAAAATGGATAAATCAACCCAAATCAAACCATACCCAAATGGTTTTAAGCTTATATAGTTAATGGGTTAACTCAGTCCATTTGACAATGGTTTGGGTTGACCCATAACTCATTTACCTTAATGAGTTAATGGGTTTAATGGTTTATCCATGAATATTAATACGATATTTTAAATGGTTATTAATTAAAATATTACTATAGGGATTAAAAATAAAAAAAAGTTATTTTTTTTTTAAATAGTTGTTTAGACTATGGAAAAAAACATGGTGGGAATTTCATGATTTACAGTTTGACGGAAAAATAATATTTTACGATTTTTGGCGAAAAACGATTTTGTAGTTTTGGCGGGAAAACTCGATTTTATGGTTATGGTGGAAAAATACGATTTCAGATTTTTGGCGGAAAAAATCGATTTTACAGTTTTGGTTGGAAAACTCGATTTTGGCAGTAAAACTCAATTTCAGAATTCAAAGCAAAAACACGATTTCACAATTTTGGCGGAAAACACGATTTTATGTTTTTTGCTAGAAAACATGGTTTTGAGATTTTGGCCGAAAAACATGATTTACGATTTTGGCGAGAAACATAATTTGCGATCTTGGCGGGAAAACTCAATTTCACAATTTTAACGGGAAAACACGATTTCACAATTTTAGCGGGAAAACTCAATTTTATGACTTCTGCTAGAAAACATGATATTGAAATTTTGGCGTAAAACATGATTTTCAGTTTTGGAGAAAAACTTCATTTTACGATTTTGGCGGGCAAACTCGATCTTACGATTTTGACGAGCAAACTCAATTTTATGGGGTTGACGGAAAAACCCGATTTTACGATTTGACGGGAAAACATGATTTTACGGTATTGGCGGAAACCTTGATTTTACAGATTTGAGAGGAAAACTTGATTTTACATTTTTGACGGAAAAACACGATTTCACAATATTGGCGGGAAACAAGATTTTGCGGTTTTGGCAGGAAACAAAATATTGGGATTTTGGTAGGAAAACTCAATTACAAGTAGAAAATTTCAGTTTTAAAATTTTGATGAGAAAACTTGGTTTATGTTTATTTTTTTAAAAAAAAAAAATCAATATTTAATATTTTTATGTTTAAGAATTTGTATGTTGACAAAAATAAATATGAGAAATTGAGTTATATTTAGTTTATTGAAATTGATTTAAATAAATGAGAAAACAAATAAAAATTTGGTCTAGTAAAATTAGTTTTAAATTAAAGTTTGGTTTCTTTTATTTATATTTTTGATTTGAGTAATATATTGATTATAAATTCTTATTGATTTGGTTATGGGTAACTCATATAATCCATTACAATCCAAACCATTTTAACTCAATCCAGTAAGTCCATTATACCATTTTAATCCATTTGTATCCAACTTTTCTATCCATTAAGATTCATGGTTTGGATTGGGTTGGATTGACTCATCTATAATATTAAAGTTGAAGTACAAAAATAAAGTGTTTGGAAACATAAATAATAAAATTTTAAAAATTTGATTGGAAACATGGATAACATACAAATCTAATGGGTTTATTGATAAAACTAAAGATTATTGCGGCCCAAATTACCATTATTATTGTTTTTGTGTTTTCTATCATTGATATTACTTTATTTCTGAAAATTATTTTATACATATATGTACTCGTGTTTTAAATGTATTTAGAATAAATTAAGAATAATATATGTGTATTTATATAATTTATATTGACTATTGTTATAAGTTTTTAACAGTGATATAATAGTATTCCAATTCTTCATTAAAAAATTAACTTAAAATTTGACTAAATTATTTAGTATATATAACTTTGCACCAAATTTAGCCAAAAAAAAATTTATAAACTTTTACTAAAATTTTTACGGGTCACAACATTTTACTAACGTCTCTGTTACATAATACAATGATGAAAGACAATGTCTAAACAGTATACTATTACATAGTAAAATTGGAACCATTAGAATGTAATTTTTAAAATGTTTATATATACCATAAAAACAAAGACCCGCCCAGTCGGGCGGGTTATGATCTAGTTAATTTTTATCCATTTTGACACAGCTAACTCCCCTCCATCTCTACTCCTCTTACATTTTCTTCATCTCCTTCTCTCTTCCTCTCTTTTCCCAATCTTTCCTCCATTGAAGCCAACACCAAACAAGGCGATGATGACAGTCTCTCTCCTCCATGAACTCTGGTCCTCCTCCTCGAAAAAACTATTTCTACAGCAGTACAGCCACCAGCTCCGTGCCTCCTAAAAAGGCCAATACCAACTTTTTAAAATTGTGTTCCAAGAAATAATGAGAACCGACCTAAAACTGTAGAATATATTAATGCTCGCTTGTACTTAATATTCAAATACCAACTTTTTTTTGGTGACCCGCCCAAGAGACAAACCATGTAAAATACTCTCTGTTTGCGCAACTTATATGAGTGGTAGGTTTAGAACCCGATTACTTATCACCTTTCTAATCCTGCCGTACCATCCGACCACGCTCCATGTAGGTTCAAATATCAACTTTGATTTATAATCTATAATTTAATTCATTTATAATATTTCATATGAATACTTTGTACAAAAAAAGAGTACAGAATTAAACTTTCACAATTCATAATATACATACTTAATTAATTAGACGCAAAACAAAACAACTCGATCCCGGACGCAATATAATACCCTTGCGCCGACGAGGGTTGTTGTTGTGGCCTTTGAATTCATGAAATTAAAGACAACCTTGTGGCAATACCACACCTGCCTTAACTCCTTTAATATTCTTACACGTCGAACTAGCTGACCGTCCGTTGAACGTTAGCTTAATATCGTGCAATCTAATTGCTTGGCATGGATTACTACGACTGCAATCAAACGTTAAAGCTTGTTGTGTTCGAGACGTCCCTTGAATGTTTCTATACACAACCTGGCTAATCTTCACACCAGAGCCCTAACAATATATAAATCAGCCAAAACAAATCAGATAAATTTGAAACAAATATTCCCTTGTATCCTGAGCGGTTAATAGCTTTACCTGTTTAGGACAGCCTTGATGAGTCGGACAATAATTCTGATCAACAATGATTGGATTCTGAACGTTTTTCATGACCAGATTCTGAAACAAAACGTTTCTCACAAAACCTGTGCTCTGTCTAGCCCATGTCTTGATCCGAACACCATTATCCGAACCAGAAAAAACAGAGTTTATCAACGTTATGTTCTGTACTCCAGCTTCATTAGCATCTCTCCCTAGACTCCCAATACTGCCACAAAGTATTATCATAAAAAATCAGTATATAACTTTTAAAAAATATTGGAATCTTGTGATCCAAGTTATCTTCAATTGTCCTACCTGATTCCATGCCCTGGACCGCAGTTGAGTTTAGACATGTAGAGGTTACGAGTTCCCGGACCGATAGCGATGCAGTCGTCTCCTGTTTGAAACGTGCTATCGGTTACGGTCACACCAGTAGACGCCTGGATGTGGAGGCCGTCTGTGTTGGGACTTTGGTCTGGAGCCACTAACTTTACTTTCCGGACAATTACATTGTTGCAGCTGTTTATCACTAAATGTGTTACTTGGCTGTTTATTGACGTTAGGCCGCTCACTACGATGTTGTTTGCCCAGTTAAAAGTCATCGACTGCAATAACATCACCAAATATTAGAATCCTTCCTTGAATTTTTTTGTGAAAACTAAAATGGATCTTTTAGTGGTAACGAAAACATTTTTTCAGTGATTAGGACGTTATAGGTCCGAAAACGCGTACATGCGAGACCCAAAGCGTGTCAATTAAATTAACTATTATTCGGAGAGTAGACATTTTCCAACGGGTAAAACATTTAAAAGTTAGTTAAATCAGTTATCTTACTCTGGCTCCAGCAGGACAATTCTTTCCGGAATTTCGACAAGCCCAAAAAGAAGCACCTCTAGCATCTAACTTCCCTCCATTGATCGTGATCCGGTTAACTTTCACAAACAGGATCCAGTAACCGGAATTACCCAAACCACGGTAATCAGAAGGAGCTACAATCGTTCCAGATATCTGGAACGTGATTCGACTGCGGCACGGACCACGAAACTCCACCGGTTTTAACAAGAAGCTCCCTCTAGGGACCGTCACTGTAACACTTGCAGCTGAACGGCAAGCAGCTTTCCATGCGCTGAGGAAGGCTTTTGTTGAATCGGTTCGACCGTCCGGTTTAGCACCGAAATTGACGACATTGTAGTTGTTAGTAGCCCCTGATGTTCTCATCAGCAAGAAGCTTGAGAACAGCAGCAAAACAGATACAAGCTTATTATTATTATGATCCATTTATTGTTCTTTACAGAGAGAAAGAATTAACAATCTTTGTAGTTATATAGAATTGAAAGTATTTATGTGTTTTAGGTTAAGTGTGAGGATCAGGATGAATGAGTATTTATATGTAACTGTATATACAGTGCTACGCTTAAGTATTTGTATTTGAATACGTTGACTTTATTTTAATATTATAATGCTAATGATTGATCAAATATCAAATGAAGGAAATGTACGGTTCGCATAAAAGCATGTTGTGATAAGCAGTTGTGAAGTCATTAAGCAAGTAACGTTCCAAAAGAAACAAATACAAATTATGCAAGTGTCCGTAGACTTTTCTATTGTTCGTCGGCTAAATAATATTTAGTATAGTATTTCTCCAGGATTATAACGAATACGAAAACCACTGGATCAGGTTTCATGTATAGCATAAGTTATGGCATGTGACATATGGACTGTGGAGATATTCCATCGTAGCCGTAGAAGAAGAAAACCTTCCGTATCCCATGGCCATGATTAGAAGCATAGTCTTTTTTTTTTTTTTTTGAGAACAACAAAAAAAAGGGAAGGGTTACTTCAAAGTCAACCAATGTTAACTTACCGCATCACAAGAAACAGGTAACATGGGATATGCAATGTATGGTGATTTGGGTAATTAACATATACTTAGAAATAATTATCACATGGGTTTGTTTACCAAAAAAAAAAAATTATCACATGGGTTTACGTGAAGGATGAACGGAATCATGGATGGTGGACCGTACCGTTATCAATGACGGATATCGCTCAACTCTTTTAAAGGTTTTCTTCTGCAACTGACTTTATAATATATTGTTTATTTTGTTCTGATTTGAATATTCGAACACGTCAGACCGAAGGTAATGTCAAAAGGTTTTATGGAGAACAAAGGGGCAAAAACAGCTAGAGCAAACAAGGTTTTGACTTATTTATCTTCTAGAACAAAATCCATAAACTCAATTATTAATCTTAGGGTTTATATACATCCCCACGTTAATATCGGATTTCTGATTTCACATGCAATTAATATTCACTGGAACCGTAAGAACATCCGCAACAAGGGATCCTTAGGGGGAATCCTTAGGAAAAAAGAAAAAGGGATATTTCAGATTATATAAGGATATTTCGGATTATTTCTTTAAAATAAAAAATCTGACCAATCGTGGACCGACACGTGGAGAGTGGAACTCATGAATAGCGTAAGGATCCATCCGGATCAATCCTTACATAAATATTTTATTCTTAAAATCTTTAACTGTTAATGGGACTCATTAGTTATAAAATTAATATTTTCTTAAGAATTCTCCCTAATGACCTCTTGTTGCGGGTGGTCTAAGATCCATATTTTCGGAGACTAGTTCATGAAACATGCATGCTTTCTTTATATTTACCATTTATGGTAAATAGTTGAAAAACGAAGAAAATAGTCGTTTTGATATATTTATCATTTAGTATATATGCTATATGTAGACGCGGTTACATATTGAATAATCAAATAAGCAGTGCCAATCCTAAGATATCTAAAACCAAAAGAAAATTAAAAATAAAAGACCACATTTTAAAATTTTGGACCTAGGTTGTGCGAAGTAAGTTTTTCCCTTAAAATGTTACTATTGCAATAAAGGACACTACTGTAAAAGTGTGGCAGGATATTTCTTTATAATAATACAACCTCAAACCAGTGCTTCTTTAGTTTATGCCAAGGACCAGCTCTGCAAATAAGAATAAAAATTAAAAAGGGAAAACAAAACCTATTCATATATAAGCCTTATGCTAAGGAAATGGCATGTGACATTGTAATAGAAGGAAGAAGATCCGATCTTCGCCATCAAAAAACCTCAAACCAGTCATCCACCAATGAAATATAGACACATCATCCAGCCACTCGCCTGACATGGATCATAGACTCGTAATATCAAATATGCCACCTTTGAATTGTATTGTTCTTACAAGTGAAGACCATGCTAATTAGTGCCTCAATTAGTACTATATCATCATATTAGTTTGATAATGCAGTTTCCATTTGCAGTTTCGTGGTTACTCTTACACACTTGATGAACTATCACATATAAACGCTAGATATATAATGTTATAAATAAGTTGTGTCTAACAATAACATAAGTTTAAGTAACAGAATATCCTTTCGTTGTTAAAAAAAAAGGAAAAAAACAATAGCATAAGTTGTGGCATGTGACATGTGGTGGTCGAAGAGTGGAGATCCGATCTAAGCCGTCTAAACTAATTTTGCGGTACTGCACAGTCAACGTACAAACTTTAAACAAATCGTCAACCAGTGATTTATTAAAAAAACAACACACGAGATGGAACAGAGTACCATATGTGTTAACTTCGACTTCTATTGCTCTTTGTTTTCTTGACATAGATTTCTATGCTATTACTGGCTGAACATCGGTTAATTATATGTACTGTGTTTACCAATAATTCCAAAGTTAACCCACTTATCAAAATATAAATAATAATATTCCAAAGTTATCGAGGGCTAAATCACACATTAAGTGTTCTTTGTAATGCCAAAATTTTAATCAGATTTCTATTATTAAAAAAATACTTGGATCTCTCAAACTGGAATTTACATAACTAAAATAATAAATTTGATTTATGTTTACTAATTGATTTTATTTCTTGTAAATATATGACCAATTGACCATTTATAGTTATACAAATTTCATGCAAAACAGAATTGCTACAAGCACACTGATAAAGTAAACAACTAGATTGATCATTGCTGCTCTTCATTTCCATTCACACCAAAGAATTCAGCATATATATATAAATCCAGATGAACCTTCGGTTAAGAAACATCAGACGAATCAAATAAACATCACCTTATAAGAATCTCCACCCTCCAATTAATTAATCTTAGGGGTTTTATATAGAATCCCAATTGTCAATTCTTGGAATCATAACTCAGAGACAGTTCCTTGGAATCACTACCCCGGATCTTCGTCCATGGACATTCCTGCAATAAGAAGCTGATGATCTTCTCATGTAAGTAAGCTTAATGTCTTGTAGCCTAATTCCTGTGCAATGATTGCTTCTACTACAATCCAGCTTCATAGCTATTGGTGTTGTTGATGTTCCTTTTATGTTTGCAAACGTCACTCCACTTATCTTCACACCAGAGCTCTATTTGATTATACCATAATAAAATTTCCATTAGAAATAATTTAAAAAGTTATATAAGAGACTTGAGTTAACACCAAATCAATTAGGTTTATTCACCTGACGAGGGCAGCCTCTTCCATTAGGACAGTAGTTTTGATCGATTATGACCGGATTATCGACATTTCTCATTATCAAATTTCGAAATACAACATTCCTCACAAACCCTCTGCTCGGTCTAGCCCAAGTCTTTATCCTTACACCATTTTGTGTCTTGGTGAAAACAGAGCTCGTGACAGTTACATTCTGCACACCTTCCTCATTAACGTAATCCCCAAGACTCCCAATGCTGAATAAAATTTTACAAGCAACCCCCACGTTAATAGTTCATTAAAGTCATCACATTAATTAAGTCGATTAATGTTCATTTTAGTTACCTGATTCCATGTCCGGGTCCACAGTTCACGCGTTCGATCCAAATGTTCCTAGATCCTTGACTAAGAGCAATGCAGTCATCACCGGTAGCAATGGTTCCACCACTAATGGTGACTCCAGAAGAAGATTGGACGTGGATACCATCGGTGTTAGGGCTTCCACTTGGTGCCCTAATCCTCACGTTTTGAATCCGAACATTGGAAGAATGATGAACCGTGACGTGCATGTTCTGGCTATTCAATGACGTTAGACCACTTAGTAGTACATTGTTGCACCAGCTAAATGATATAGACTGCGGAAAGTAACCATATCTGAAGTTTTAATTAATAATATACCAAAAAAAATTGCTAGTTAAAGAATCAATCATCTTTTAATATAAACATACCCTTGCACCTTGAGGACAGTGACCACCTTTTTTCCGACAAGACCAATAACCTGATCCTCTAGCATCAATGGTTCCACCAGAAACCGAGATCCGGTTTACCTTAGCGAATAGGATCCAGTAACCAGAATTACCTATACTCCAGTAATTCGCCGGAGCCACGAGTGTTCCATCGATTTTGAAAGTTATATGGTTTTTGCAAGGACCCCAAAAGACTAGGTTTGTAACCAAGTATGTTCCACGGGGAATGTAGACCATGGCTCGAGCCCTTGAGCGGCATGCTAATGACCAAGCCGTCAAAAATGGCTTGGTCGAGTCTGTTCGTCCATCACCTCTAGCTCCGTATCTTTGTACGTTGAACGAAGGCATTGCGTTGGACGAGTTGATAAGAAATAAAACAATGGAGAATAGTATGATGACTAAAGGAAAAGAGATATTTTTGGCCATCTTAGATTTTTCTTTCCTAGTTTTTGATGGCTTTGTACGATTGTGATGATTTAGAAGAAATAATGGGAACGTTATATATAATAAGGGGAAAAGGCTTTTCTGTAATAGATCGGACCATTGGTGTATTAATGACTAATCACGTCAAACGCGGTGCATTAAAATATAAGTGACCTAAATTTTTCTTGATTCCAAGTTATTTTATCTGTTAATCATGATGTACTTACGGATTTAATATTTGTGTACAAATCGTTAGTCTATGAGACACGTAAACTGCAAATATAGTTAGTTTCCGCGTTATCAATATGAACGCAAATGTTTAGTGAGTTTCTAATGTAAATCAATTCATTGTTAGGATTTTTTTCTTAATAATGAAAGTCTGATATTTTAAATATATTATTTTATCTGTAATGGTTTGGTAATACATACGACAGCTTAAAAGCATGATTAATGGGAGAGTTTTTAGAGTGGAGTTCTTTTAACGGAATATAAAAAATCGTTTCTTAATTTTTAACGAAAAAAACTAAAAACCTATTTTTAGTTTTCATAGTTAAAAGTTAAGAGACGATTTCCTATATTCCTCTAAGAATTCATTTTAAGAATTCTCCATTAA